TTAGCTCTGGGGGAACTAACGAGAATTCCTGAGCTACACAAGTCATGTTTCCTTTCCAATATGCAAACACAGTGGCATCAGTGTCCTTTGGACATGAGGAATGAAATGTAGGGAGTATGGAAGCCAGGTCAGGCAAGGTCAGAGGGAAACCAAAGCCTTTTCACCTCCGTTTCACTCTTCATGGCAGGAGGCCGATGAGGTGAGGATCACAGCCACCTCTGCCCTGGGCCACATGCTATGTCGAGTTAAAAAATTCGGGCTTGGATCTGCCCTCCAAAAGGAGATCTACAGCTTCTTAGTCCAGCTGCTGCTCAGCTTGCAGGACAACAACACTGACGTAGTCAAGGTACCAGTGTCCTCTGTCCTACCAGCCTCAGCCTGATTCAACCCCTCCTGCTAGAGGATAGCCCCTTCCCTTTAGTCTTCTTTCATGAGCCAAGTCTGGGGTCTGCATTCACCGTCCACCTCTTTTGTCCTATTCCCTGGGCTGGATCTGAGCACTTTTATTCTCTCTCTGGTGCCATCACTCTTATCCTGATATGGTCTGCTCCCTGAAGCTGTTTTTTTAAAAAAATATATTTTATTGATTATGCTATTACAGTCGTCCCATTTTTCCCCCTTTATTTCCCTCCTCCCTGCACACCCCTTCCTACCCACATTCCCCCCCTTTAGTTCATATCCATGGGTCATATATATAAGTTCTTTGGCTCCTACATTTTCTATACTACTCTTAACCTCCCCCTGTCTATTTTCTACCTACCATTTATGCTACTTATTCTCTGTACCTTTTCCCCCTCTCTCCCCCTCCCACTCTCCCACCTACTCCCCTACTGATAACCCTCCATTTCTGTGGTTCTATTCCTACTCTAGTTGTTTGCTTAGGAGTGTGTTTTTTTTTTTTTTTTAGGTTCAGTTGTTAATAGCTGTGAGTTTGTTGTCATTTTACTGTTCATATTTTTATCTTCTTTTTCTTAGATAATCCCTTTAACATTTCATATAAGTGTTGGTGATAAGGAACTCCTTTAACTTGACCTTATCTGGGAAGCACTTTATCTGCCCTTCCATTCTAAATGAAAGCTTTGCTAGATAGAGTCATCTTGGATGTAGGTCCTTGCCTTTCATGACTTGGAATACTTCTTTCCAGCCCCTTCTTGCCTGCAAGGTTTCTTTTGAGAAATCAGCTGAAAGTCTGATGGGACCTCCTTTGTAGGTAACTGTCTCCTTTTCTCTTGCTGCTTTTAAGATTCTCTCCTTATCTTTAATCTTGGGTAATGTAGTTATGATGTGCCTTGGTGTGTGCTTCCTTGGAGTTTCCTGGACTTCCTAAAAGTGTATTTCCTTTGCCAGAATGGGGAAGTTCTCCTTCATTATTTTTTCAAGTAAATTTTCAATTTTTTGGTCTTCCTCTTCTCCTTCTGGCACCCCTATGATTCAGATGTTGGAATGTTTAAAGATCTCCTGAAGGTTCCTAAGCCTCTCCCCATTTTCTCGAATTCTTATTTCTTCATTCTGTTCTGGTTGAATGTTTCTTTCTTCCTTCTGCTCCAAATCGTTGATTTGAGTCCTGGTTGCCTTCCTGTCACTGTTGGTTCCCTGTAGATTTTTCTTTATTTCACATAATGCAACCTTTATTGCTGCCTAGTTCTTTTTTATGCTGTTGCAGTACTCAGTGAGTTCCTGGAGCATCCTGATTACCAGTGTTTTGAACTGTGCATTTGATAGTTTGGCTCTCTCTTCATCTCTTAGTTGTATTTTTCCTGGAGCTTTGATCTGTTCTTTCATTTGGGACATTTTTTTTTTGTCTCAGTGCACCTGTTACGTAGTAAGGAACGGAGCCTTAGGTGTTCACTAGGGTGGGGCAATGCACATCAATTTGTTGTGACACTGTATGTGAGGGAGGGGTCTGAGAGGGAGCAATGCCACTTCCTCTACTCTCTGCCAATTTTCAGCCACTTTCCCTGCTACCCACAATCAACTGGGCCCTTCTGGTGCTGATTCCTGGGTGTGTGGGCTTGTGTACATTCTAGGACTCTGTGGATCTCTCCAATGAACTCTCCTGTGAGGCTGGGAGTTTCTCCCACTGCCGCCTCAACCCCCACAGGTGTTTTCAGTCAGAAGTTTGAGGCTTTATTTCCCTGCACTGGAACCCTGCGTTGTGAGGTCTGTCTCGCTCCCCAGTTGTTTTTCCCAGTTTATCTGCACTCGAATGTGGGGCCACCCAGTCTGCAAGCCACTGCCTTGAGTGGTCTGCCAGTTGCCGCCTTGCTGGGAGTCCTCTCTACCTGGCTGCCTGTCTCTGCCCCTCCTACTGGTCTGGATGAATGTTTCTTCTTTAAGTCCTTGGTTGTCAGACTTCCATACAATTTGATTTTCTGGCAGTTCTGGTTGTTTTTTGTTTTTAAATTGTTATTGTCCTTCTTTTGGTTGTGTGAGGAGGCACAATGTGTCTACCTACACCTCCATCTTGGCCAGAAGTCCCTCCCTGAAGCTGTTTATGTCCCTTGATGTGAACAAGGCTCCATGTTTTACCTGATCCCAGCTACAAATCCAACCAAACCCCTTGGGGCCCACCTTTACTTGGGGTCTTCCACTTAGCCTCCGGCCTGCCTCTGCAGAGTTATAGAAGTGAGGCTTTGAGAATTTCCTTGTTTCTGTCCCACAGGCCTGTGGAAGGGCCCTGACTGAATGGACCAGAGTGATAGGCTGGCCATCACTGACACATATTCAAGGATACCTACCTCAGTGATCACATCTAGGTATTGGAAGAAACATGCAAGTACCTGGTAAGTGAGAGTCTCTGAGGAAGCCAGGTCACAGTTTTCACATTAGGGACTCAGTGACAGGCTAGGTGAGTAAAGAGGAGAGGGCTGACAGAAGACGTCATCTTTCCTTTCCTTATCTCATTCTTTATCATCAGCAAACTCTGACAACCCACATTTGGGATGCCAGCTCCTGGTCCTCCATATCTGACCCTCCTAGCATCCCAGTCTCTGCCTTCAGAGGCTGAGGATGTCATGCAAGGGGAGTAGATGACAATGAGGTAGAGGCCTTCTGCTTAGAGGTGGCAGGAAAAGATAGAGACAGGAGTCCTTGGGGCTTTAGATCAGTCATCAAGGTGCTAAGGATCTGTGGCTTCTGTGACTTCAGGAGTCCTTGCTGAAAAGTAAACATGTAAGGGCTAAGCAAGTTGGTTGGGAACTAACATGAGTAATTCTCATGTTATGAATTTGGGTTCCTTACATAGATAGAGCACTGTAGAGTTTACAAAGCACTTCTACATCCATTCTCCCATGGGAGCCTTGCCGTCATGCAAGGGAGGTCTGGCAGGTTTTGTTTTAGCTCTACAGATGACAAAACTGAAGCCAGTGTCAGGGCCAGTATTCAAACCTGGGTCTCCTGACTCCACATCAGTTGTTTCCTCCTTTGTCATGTTGGTATCGAGGAGCAGAACTCTCCTTACAAACTTTCTGCTGAGCCTGCTCTTTGGCTGGGGGTGGAATGTCTGAGTGTGCAGGTCAAATGATTTAAGATGACTGAAGACAAAAAACAGTGCTGCTTCTGGACAGAGTGAGAGAGGCATGACTGCAAGCAGGTCTGTAGTAGAGTTCTTCCCCTAGTCAGCACCACTCCTCTTTGACTCCACAAGTGAACACAGGCAAAACTCAGTTTTTGGGGGGATTTATTGCTCCAGAGCTTTGAGCTCCTAAAGAGCACTCAGCCCTTCCTTCGGGCAACTGCAGTCACCTTCATAGGTAAGGCGGTCCCTCCTGTCAATTCCTCCCTCCTCTATAGAAGGAAAGCCCTCCTTGACTTTTTGCCAAAGGGTGAAGCCAGAATCATGATATGATGAAGCTGGTCACATCCTTTTCCAGCTCTGACCTGGTTAGGGAGGTTGACCTCAAATTGTGTGTCAGAAAGTTTGGGGAAGCTCTCTGCCTTCCTCCTGGCTGTGTGCACATCTACCCATGAGGCATGCTGCTTTGTGAGAAGAGAACTATATACACTTGGCAGGGAAAACCACATGGAACTGGAACCACATGGATTTTCCCAAATAGTTTTGTTTTAAACTGTTCCACAATAATAGTATGCATTAATGTTAGAAAGCATAAAATATTCAGATTGGCTAAAAGAAGACAATAAATAATGCCAGAACTTCTATCATTTGTATTTAACCACTACTAATATCTTAGAATTTTTTAAAACAAAATCTGCAGCGCGCGCACACACACACACACACACACAGAGCACTTTTTAAAAATACAAACTTTGAGCCCTGGCCAGGTGGCTAAGTTGGTTGGAGCATAGTACCATGCACCAATAGTTTGCAGGTCTGATTCCCCTTCAGGGTACATACCTGGGTTGTGGCTTCAATCCCAGGTCAGGCTGCACACAAGGCAACCAACTGGTGTTTCTTACACTGATGTCTGTCTGTCTGTCTGTCTCTTTCTCTTGCAGATCAATAAACAAAGATTTGGGTGAGGATTTAAAAAAACACAAACATTGCTACACAGCTGTATCACAAATACATGCATTAGATACTCTTCAACATTACTTTTAATGACTGTATATTAATTCTATTGCATAGATAGATTTATGAAACTAGTCCTTATATTTTAATATTGAGACTGTGTCATCTTTTGTTTTCATAGGCAGGGACATAGTGGTTAAATGTCTGCATGCCATCATGATTATTTTGCTAAGATAAATTTCTTAAAAGTAAAATTGCTGGGCCCAAAGGGTGTGCACAGTTTTAAGGACATTGGTGCTCATTGCCAAACTGCATTCTACACAGTTAGATCATTTGTTGTCACCAGTACTTTATGTGAGTATCCGTTTCTCCAGACATTTGCCCACCCTGGGTAGTATGTTTTAAAAATCATTTCCAATTTGATAGGTAAAAACGAGAAGTTTGTTGTTTCGATTAATATTTTGTTTTATCAGCAGCAAGGTTAAATATTTTTACGGTATATATATTGGCAATATGTATTTTATTTTTGCAGATTAATTGCCTGTGCCCTCAACTTTCTATGGATGTGGGAACTCCCTGAAGTTTAACATTCTTGGCTCATGCTCCACTTGTTACCTGCTGACAGTATTTCTCCTGGGTGTGTTGCAACCAATCAAGGCTGGGCAGAGCCACTGTCACATCTGGGAGATGGAAGAAAATGCACGGAGCCGTGGGGATGCTTGACATGCCTTTATTCACTGGTGGGAGAGCCATGCACGCTGCAAGCTGCGTGTCTAACTTCTGGGAAGCCCCTACTTGTTTTAAGTACTAGAGGGGAACACATAACATAACAACATAACATAACATAACATAACATAACATAACATAACATAACATTTCTGTGCATATGAGCCCACTTGGTGTTATGGGAACAGTTTATCAGACCCAGTCTCAAGGCTATGAGAACACTGCTTATCAGGCCCATCCAAGGCTACTCCTTTGATGTAGAGACAAGATGAAGAGAACATTTGCTTTTACAGCTCCTATTCCTATGTCTCAGCCTTTTTGTATGTAAGAGGGTTATGTGTATACCTGAATGTTCTGGCCTGAATGCCACAGGTTTGCAGATGTCTATCTGTAACATGAAAAGACACCGGCGTTTGGGCTGCCTGTCACTATCAAATCCAATAAGCAATGCCAGTGATTGAATCTTTTGTGGGCGCTTTATTAAGATGGCCGGTGATCCGAGAAGATGGCGGGTTCATACCCTAACAAACCATCTTTCCTTCTCTTTCCTGGCCACATCTTTTATAAGGGGGTGGGGGTGGGGGACAAGCAAGTTGCAGTGAGGCCTTCAGAAGCTGCAGCATTCCTGTCCTGGGCAGTTAGCTGTTTCCAAGAGGGAGGGGTGGTTGGCTGGTCTTCCTGGAACAAAGGTTCATATGTCCCCAGGAGGTAATCCTCTATCAGTGCCCCAGGAGGTCAGCTGCTTTTCCCAGGAGCCAGGATGGGCCTTATCTGTAGTTTCTGAAACAAAAGTTTAACATATACATTACTTGCTAGACTTACAGCTTTTTACTTTAAGCTAAAATTTTCCAAGTCTTGAGCCCCCTATCATGTCCACAGGGGGTTTGCCTTTGGGTTGGAGCCCAATTACAATTCCCTGGTGCCTGCTTTGAGGCAATATCTTTTTGAGGTAACAGTGGAGTCATATCTCAGATGGACAAGGCTTTGTTTCCTTTCTGGTTCTATTGCAGCTCTTTATCTAGAGAGTACAATGGTAAATGACCTTTAAGGGTCCTGTCTTTCCTCAAAGTCAGTGCTGTGGTGGAGAACATGAGCTCCAGCGTTAGCCAGACCAGTCCCACACACTGGATCTCTTGAGAATGAGCCATGCGAACTTGGGCAAGTTACTTTGTCTTTGTGCCTCAGTTTCTTCATCTGCATCATGAGGACACTAGTGCTGCTCTTTGACATTGTTGTAAAGATGGAAAACAAAGCTCAGAAAGCATTGAGCTCTGCTGGGCACCTAGAGGTCCCACAGACCTTTTGTGCAGAGTTGCCTCAGACTAGGGCAAGAGAAGGTATCGAGAGAGCAGGTGGGAAGTTTACTTAGAGCTATGGTCAATTCTGAAAAGGTCAAGCCAGTTTCCCAAGCCACCAGACTGCTCATGACCCTGTCAGGCCAGTTTCCCAAGCTGCTAGACTGCCCATGACTCAGTTGTCCCGGCTCACTTGGTAGCCTGAGGCTTAATCGAAACTCTCCCACCACGCACAATAGACACCTGGCGCCAGCCACAATGCCCGGTGGTCAGACTGACCCTCCTGTGCCTGGGAACCGCCTGCCCTTTACCTAACCCACTGTCCCGGCTCACATCCTGGAACCCCAAGGCACTCGCCTAGAAGAACAAGAGACTAACCCCTCCCCCCCCACCACAAACTCCATGCTTTTTCTTTAAAAAAACCCAATTCCTTCCTCCCCCTGCCCAGTGTGTAAGCCGCAGTATCAAATAAAGGCACTTGGATCAGATCACCTAGTTCCTCCTGCCTCTATTCTCACACATTTCTAAAATTCTGGTGCTGAAACCCGAGAGGACTATGACTGGGGAAGCCCACTTGCCTGACCTCCACATACACACCAGCAAAATCAGTTATGATAAGGAGTATATCCCGCTCCCTCATCTGGGCACTCTCCTCTGTTCTGCTGCTGTCCTGCACTGCACGACGTCTGGAAAATCCCAGCGCTGGGTGAGAGTCGCTGCCTGCCTGGTCCTGGACCCTTGGGAGTGAGCAGGAAGGTGAGACTCCTCCGTCCTCCCCTCCCTTTCTCTGTCTTGACCCTAGGACACTCAAGGGTGGGATGCCTCTTTGTTTCTCCTAGGGTGGGGAGATTGGGCTTGATCCTCTCCTTCTGCCCCTCAGTCAATCCTCTGGATGATGGGGCCAATCGCTGCCTCCCTGCAACACTCCCTTGGGGTGTCTGCTCAAAAGTCTGAAAGATGTGATCTTAGAAATGGACCTAAAATCCAAGAGACTTATTTTCTTCTGTAACACAGCCTGGCCTCAGTATAAGCTGGATAATGGGGCCATTTGGCCAGAAAAACAGGACACTTGATCCTCAAATCCTCACAGACCTTGAGGATTTCTGTTGGTGGCTTGGCAAGTGGAGTGAGGTCTCATGTGTCTGGGCCTTCTTTGTGTACACACAGTAACAAAAACAGTTACTTAAGGAAAATGGGAATTCAAATGAATTAAACATCTACGATTGGAAGAAAAGTGGCAGGATCACCTCTTAAAGTGTTTTATTGTGTTTTATCCTCTCTCTTCCATCTTTTTGACACTGGAAAAGACACTGACATTCATTCACTACCAAACCCAATAAGCAATGACAGCGATTGAATCCTTATGGGCGCTTTATTCAGATGGCCAGTGATCTTAGAAGGCGGGTTCACATCCTAAAAAAACCATCTTACATTTTGTTTCCAGGCCAGACTCCTATAACAGAACAAGGTGCAGGGTGCAGCCAAGCGGGGGCGGGGGGGGGGGGGTTGCCCAAATAGGGATTTGGAATGGAGTCCAGAACTCAAAGTGTTCAGGAAATATTAAGATGTCCTCACCCCCCACCCCCAGGTGTGAGTTGGGGTAAGGGATAAATGGAGCAGGGCCACTGAGAGCTGTTTCGCATAGCAAAAGCTTTGCAGGTAACCTCTGGTGTGGTCATTTAACATATCTATAACCTTTAACTGGTTGCATAGATATGTTAAATAGCTGTGGCCACACTCTGAGCCAGGGGGATGGAAGTAACTTCCCCAACAAGATGCAACTGGGAAGCAGGTCCCCGAGTTATAGCACCTGCTTGAGAGCTTGGAGATGATTGGCTCCATGACATGGGGCCATGCCTGCCCGGACTCATGATGGCAGCCCAATAAAGCTGGAAGGATACAGGAGTGCTGACATGTGTAGCCAATTGTGGGAGGAGTCAGAAATGGGGCTGCAGAGGAAGATTGGCGTGGGAATTTAAACCCAGACTCGGCAGCCATTGGAGGGAGGACCACGCAGTTTTGGCAGAGTGGGGACTCCCGCAGCCCTGTGAGAGAGGATCACCGTGCAGATTTAGCAGAGAACCGCCACTTAGCTTTGCCAGAGTGGGGACCCCCGCAGCTTTAGAAGGGGGAACCACCACCTGGCTTTAGCAGAGATCCCGGCGACACAGCTGATGGTGCCGGGAACCAAGGGAGGCCTACCAGCCAAGACGGATTACTGGGAAGTACTGGGGGCTGCCAGAGCCATGGACTTCTTTTTCTTTTCCTGAGATACGGTACCCCAGACTGGGCAAAGGGGGAAGGTGTTTGTGGGTGTTTTAAAGGACTTTGGGATTTTGATGAAGACCTTAGGTCACTACTTTAAGTCTGTACTACATTAAATAAACATTTCCTTTCCTTTTCACGAATCTCTGGCATTGAGAGACGTTTTTCCTATAAGGTGGTAGACATAATGAACCTGGGGGATCCCTTTCGGGTAATAATATATTGCCCTCGGCCCCCTTGGTCCCCCCTTGTGTTCTGTAACACGGTGAGGGATTTTGAAATTCAGGGAAAGTTAGATGAACGAACTGCAATATTCTTGCCCTGGGGAGTTGGCCGTTCCCAGGGGCGGGTGTTCAGGTGGTCCTCTGTCTCTCTCTGGAATACAGTGGCCTGGATGCCTCCACTTGTCCCCAGGTGGTCAGCTGTCTCTCCCAGGAGCCAGGGGCTTTATCTGTAGTTTCTGAAACAAAAGCTTTAACTTATGCATTATTTACTAGGCTTATAACTATTTACCTTAAACTAAAATTTTCCAACTCTTGAGTCCCCTATCATTCCCTTCTTTCTTGTTTCCCCTTCTCTTTTAACAAAGTGAGTAGAAATTTCCCTCATCCTCCCCAATCATTTTACCCTAGTTTGCTTGAGATTATTCACTGTTATAAACAATGATGATCAAATCACACATACACACAAAAATAAATAAATAAATTGCTTCTGAGTCACTATGAACACTGAGAACTTGGCACCAGAGCCTTTCCCAGTTGTTTACCCAGATGTCAGTGCTTGACTCCACTGGAGTCTCTCCCACTTTTTGTCCAACTGGATGGCAACCCAAAGAGGCAGTTTTGATCTTAGAAGATGTGGTATGTTCCTTGTCTTTATCTCCCCTAGGTTATTGATTGTTGGTGATCAGCATAACATTTGTAAATAAAATTCATTTTCTTATTCTAAAACAAGGTAGCTTCCACCCTAGTTTGGGGTGCTAGGAAATAAATCTGAGTGACAGCAACTGCTCTGGATGCATTTCCTTGAATCTTCAGGCAAAGTGTCAAATGACAAAAGGGAGGAGTAGGGTGGGAGAACCACACAGTACCTAGTTTTCCATCTTTTCTCCCCACCTCTGCACGGCTTGCACGAAATCCCCATGCCTCCTGACACATTTCCATGGTGTATTCAGATTTTGGGTTAGAGCCTGAAAAGAGGGCTTCAGGTTGCATACAGCAAAACAGCACTAACTCCAACCCTCTGTCACTCAAGAAGGCACATCAGATTGTCACGGAATGACATTATTGTTGAGATAACTTTGAATCCATTTTATTTTTGAAAATCATTCTAAAACTTAGATTTGAACCCTTGCTCTCTCCACCACATAACAGTTACCACTGACCAGTTTTTTATACTGTACTACTTAGTGTTCTGTGCTTTATTTCCCTGTGCTTGGGTTTCATCTACAAAATGGTATTAACTATAATACTTCCTGTGGTATTGTCCTCCAATATCCATTCTCCCCTTTTTCCTTTCTTTAAAACTGTGCAATTATTGGCCCAGAATAAAGAATATGTTTGCCATCCCCTCTCACTGCTAGCTGTGACCATATCGCTGGGTTCTGAACAAGGGGTGTAAGGGACAGTGCTCATGCAGCTTCTGAGACAGGTCCTTGAAGGGCTGGGGCACATCCACAGCTGTCCCTCCTGTCTTCTTGGTGACTCGAATGTAGACATGACAGTTGGAACTTAGCATCTGTCTTGGACCTTCAGAAGGAAGTGGTATGTTGACGAGAGCAGAGCCAAAAGATGGAAAGAACCTAGATCAGGTATGAGAGTAGAGCTGTTCACCAGGTTGGAGAACTTTCCCTGCAGACTTTGTTTATCGGGTGGGGGGATTGGGGTAGAGATAAACTGTATGTATCTTAACAACTGTTGCATTTTCTGTCACTGCCAAACCCAAAATTCTGATAGATTTACTTAATTCTTCAAAATTGCTCTAAGGATTAAAGGAGATAATGAGTATAAAGTGCTTAGCTTTTTGTCTGGCATAGCAAGAAGGCATTAATTCTGTCTCCAAAGTCATGAGACAGTTAGGCTATTGGAATGTGGCTCTGAAAACTTGAAAGGTGTGGAAAGATCAGAGAACTAGTTCCCACTCTGGTCAAATTGACTAATTTCATTTATCTGAAGTTAACAGTGATCAGAATGATTTGATTGCTTCTAAATTTTATGAACTGTTAGATAAAATCTTTTTGAAACTTGGTTCCCTCATATATAAAAATGAGAATATTTAAACTTACTTTATAGGCTCTACAGAATAAAACAAAATAGTGCCATATATTAGGTATATACTAGGTGCTTAATAAATGGCTGTAGTTATTACTTAGGTATGATGATTAATTTTATGTGTGAACTTGTCATGGTGCCCAGTTATTTGGTTAAACATTATCTTAGATGTTTCTGTGATGGTGTTTTGGATTAGATTAACATTTAAATCAGAGGACTTTAAAATGGTAGAGTGGATTAATGTATAATTCTGATAGAGAACTCAAAGGTTAAAGAATTTAGCTTTAGGTGTAGGTGAGAGGCTTAAGTGATTAATGCATGTGGAAATCTGTTACACCAGGAACTGGAATGCATGATCTATGTGACTCCAGGAGGCTGACAAACAGTTCAACCTCTGTGCCCCAGAGGCTCTGCATGTGATGGAGATAGTATCTGAGCATTTGTGTTCCAGGGAGGGAAGTCATGAGACACAGATACAAAAATTGTTGATCAACAGATAAAGAAGTAATAGTAAAATCACTGTGGACTGCAACTTATATCTGATTAAACTTTTTTTCCAAACTCCTTACCTACCCTTTCTTCCCCTTATGGAAATGGTGGCTTGAGACAGGATGTTAAGGTAGTTTTTGAGGGTGTATAACCCTCCATCATAACCCTCTGATTCCTCTAATCTGCTGTTGATTCCCTCTTATATATTCTTCATTTCAGTTATTGTAGTCTTCACTTCTCTTTTTTCAATCGTTTCTATCTGTTTGTAGCAATTCTCACTGAGTTCACCTACTCTTCCCCTAATTTCATTGAGCATCCTTATAACCAGCGTTTTGAACTCCATATCTGGTAGATTGCTTGTTTCCATTTTATTTCATTCCTTTTTTTGGGGGTGTTTCCTGTTCTTTCATTTGGGACATGCTTCTTTTTTCCCTCACTTTTGCTTCTTCCCTGTTTGTTTCTAGGTATTAGGTTGATCTGCTATGTCTCCAGTCTTGGTAGAGTGGCCTTATGTAGTTGGTGTCCTGTGAGGCCCAATGATGCAGTTTCCTTGTTCACCTGAGCTGGGTGCTCTAAGAGTGTCCTTGTATGGGTCATGTGTGCCCATACAAGGTCATGCGTATGGGTCATGACATGTCAGTCGGTGGGACTGACTCTCAGGCTAACTGGCTGTGAGGACTGTCTGTGATTTCAGCAGACAGCTGTTGTGCAGGGAGGGGCAAGAGTCACTTTAGTGAGGCTCTGGTGCCAGCCAAGTTTACCCCTAGGGTGGTTGGATGCTACTTTGATTGGTCTGAAGCTGGCCATCAGGTGCATTGGTTTGGAGCCTCTTGAGAGGGTTACAGTGCTGCCCAAGGCAAGCTGCCATGTGTGCCCAGTGGGCCACCCGGTGGGAGCTACCAAGTGACCGTGGTTGGTTGCCACTGGCCTTGAGACTCTTGGGAGAGGCCATGCTGTAAATCAAGGCTGGCTGCTACTCATACCGTGTTTGTGGCTGCTTATTGGAAATTACTTTCCAAGCCAACCCTGTCTGCAGCTTATACCAGGCTTGGGGCCACCTGATGGGGGTTTAGGGCAAGTTGAGAATACTCACCATTTGTGTCGGGTTTAGAGCCACTTAGCATGAGGTACAGGGCACACCAAGGCCAGTTGCTGTTTGTTTGGCATTTGTGGACCTTTGAGAGATGTTAGCAAAGCCTGCAGCATGAGCTGAGGCAGGCCACTTGTGTGGAAAAGCTGATGAAAGGGGTTGGAGCAGAGCTCAGATTTGGCACCCACCTGTGCCTGCTGGGTGGGTGGAGAGCCCAACAGAGGAATAAAGGTGACTTTCTATCCCAGGAGAGAGCTGCCCAGCCCCTGCCCCTCCAGTCCTCACCGTGAAGACAGTCAATTCAGCTCCTCCTTGTATGTCCCCTGCATTTTTCAAGCTGCTGTCCCAGCACTAGAGCTCAGAGCAAGTGACTTTGTGAGACAATCCATGCATGGACCCCTCAAGAACACTGCCTGGGCCCTCTAGAAGCAGAGTCCACATGTGGGTGGATGTTGTTGTTATTGCTGTTGCTTTGAGGGGATTTAATTGAGGAATGCTCAAGATTTCTGAAAACCGCTATTTGTTTATTACCTAGTATGTGCCATGCCTGCTCCGCACTGGGCTGGCATTCCCATTGTCCACTGAGAACTCAGAGATGCAGAAAGGGTTAAGCAGTGTCTAAAGTCACACAACTAGTAGTGGGGAGCTGGGATTTGACCACTCAGTGGTTTCTGATCGTGAGTCCCAAATGACACCCCACCACATCTGCTGACCTGTGCCTGGGTTGATCTTAGGCTAGGACATGAGGGTTAACTGGAACCATCATTCTTAGAACGCAATATGTGTTCTAATACCTTTCCCAACCCAGTAAAAACTAGCAGGGAGCTTCAATACCTGGGAGATTCAGCCTCTTGCTTTTTGCGGTGGCACAAAGTGGACACTGCAGTAGAACATACTTTCTTTTCCCTTCCTTTCAGGTCCCACCAGCCTCAGGGTCTTTGAAACCCATAGCTTTGTCTGTTCCCAGCCCCTCCCGCCTCCCCTGATTGCCTCCTGTGTGTCCTGGGCTGGCGTTTCCTGGGCACAGTCTAAATGTCACCAGCACAGCCCTAGGCTACTGGCCCAGAGCCTGGCCTGCCTTCATGCCCATTTCTTCTCTCCCCAGCTCTGCCACGCACATTCCCAGTTGCTCTGGTACATGGAATGATACAGGTGAGACACCTCTGCCTGAGGGTGAAGGGAAAATCCCGCTGAGCCTCAGCACCCCTAAGTGGGCCTCTGAGCCCACTGAGGTTGCCATCTCCATCTCTGGCCAGGTTCAGCCTGGGATGGCCCTACGTGTCCTGTGGCCTCTTTTTCTAGGAGGGTGTCTGTAGCTTGTGACACAGTTTGAAAGACACCAGACAGAAAGACCTCAGCCCGGGGCACCTAGAAGGGAATTGCTGTTGGAGTAACCCCGCTTGCTGTCCACTGGTTTGTCCTCAGGAAGCGTTTGAAGGCCAAGAACCCGATGTACATCAAGCAGATCCTGTATCTGTTAGAGAAGTGTGTGACTGTGCTGGGTGGTAAGGAGCCCGAAGCCCCCCCAAGTGCAGCCTGCTCAGCGGGCCGGACCCGGGTCCCTGGGTGCCGTCAGGGCATCTGGGTTGTCCGTGTCCTCACATGGTCTGGGCCATTCATTAAGAAAATCCTTATTTTACAGAGCCTAGTTGAATTTTCTGACTTAGATCTTTTTTTTGGAACCTTAGTTTATTTGCCACCATTCTGTGGTGGTAATAATAATAATATAGTAAAAGTGTACAGCACTTCATGCAATAGCGATAGCAGCATGGAGGGCGCTAGTGAGGAAGCAGCACAGGCGCGTTAACCCTCAGTGACAGAGGAGGAAAGCAAAGCTGAGAGCAGAGAAGTGACCTGCGTCTGGTTCCTGAGCCCAGTGAGAGGAACTAGAATCTGCCGGCTCCAGGGCCACGGGACTCGCCAACGTTCTGTGCAACAGCCTTGTCCTTCCTCGGTGATCCCTCTGAAGGTTTCCGTAGAAGCGGAAGTCAAGAGTGCCAGTGCGGTTTGCTCTGCGGGATTTTGTGTCATGTTGCTGCTCTTCCCTTCCATCTCTGCCTTGGCCCTGTCCCAGTGCCGCCTGGGCACATCCCGTTAGCACCTGCGTGCAGTGGGCCTGTTTCCCTGTCCCTGCCTCCTCAGAGGAGGTGTGAAAGGAATGAAATCACATGTGGGTCAGGCTTTGAGGCTTCCTGGGACCTCTTGTTCTCAGTGGGGTCCATGGGTTCTAAAAATTGCAAAAAAAGCCCTGCTCAAACACAAGTGATCTTATTTGACTGGTCCATGGTGGAGTGTGAGAAGATGGGGGTAGGGGACCGCCATCTGACCTGTTTGCATTCTCTTTTAGGGAACATTAAGCAAAATCCCAACACACAGAGCCTCTTACAGACAAGTAACTGCCCCTAGGGACCGAGCTGAAGGCCATGATTGACAACATCAACCTCTTCAAGGTAGAGGTTTTACCTGTTCTCAGCACATCACATCTTATCCTTACTCCCACCTGTGGGCAGAACCCTAGGTTAACACTGGATGGGATGAAAAGTAAATTCCTTCTGTCCTCGAGCAGCCCAGAGGGCTGAGGATCTACAGTGCAGGCATGTCATTGACCCTTAAAAAAAGCAACGTGTCAGCAAGAAAAAATGCTCAGCCTAGGGTCGAAGGCTTGTAGAGATTAGGGATAAAATGGTGCCTGCTTTTGTACCTGATAAGCAGAAGTAGGGAGGCCCAGGTCCTCTGCCTTCTCCGTCTTCCTTGGGCATGGTGCTTCCCTGGGCTGCTGGGCAGAGCAGGAAGTTAATTTTGTGAGCGCGCCCCTGCCCTTGGGCTGAGGTGAGTGAGGGCACAGCTGGGCCCCTTGCTTGGCCTTTCCAGATTGCAGCCCCAGTCCTTTGCCTGCCCCAGGCCCACATGATGGGTGCTCTCCCAATTGGTACACAGCCACTGGCGCTGGACCTGCAACCTTAGCAATTCTAGTTTCCTGACCAGACCAGACTGGTTACTGTGTTTGGGGCCATGCCTCAGCTTCTGTGACTCCAGGGTGGGGTGTGCTGGCACTAGTCCAGGCAAAGGAAACCGAGGGGGGGTGAGGCCACCTCAGGAGGGTGATGAGCCACACATAAGGACGCAAATGGTGTGTGGCGGAGACAGCGTGGGAACCCAGCTGCACACACTCAGGAGCCTGCTTGCTTTCTATCCTGACTTTGCATTTCAAACCAGCTTGCCCCTGGCTTACCCACTGTGGTCATGGTTACTGCCATTACCCCTCTCAGACAGGCTGGCAGTCCTGGCATTTTTGAGTGCTTGCTTTCTCCCATTGTGTCCCACATCCCACAGCTGCCTGGCCCCACAGCCTGAAACAGCTGCTGCCTTTACCTCACCTTGTCATCTCCATGGCTCTACTACCACTTCACTGTGGCTCTTTTTCCTCTGCCTTCTTTCCAGCCTTCTTATTTCAATTCATTCTGTTTCCCTTCCATGTTGCCACCCTTCAGGCAGGTTTGTAGTATTCATGCAGACAGAAAAATATTCACGGAGTTGTTGGGATGTCTGGCATGTCTTTATGCATGGGTCGGAGAGCCATGCACTCTGCAAGCTGCGTGTCTATTTGCATGTCTCCTGTCGTGGCCCCTGCTCCCCTGCATGGCACCCATCGTGGCACCTGTCCCCTTGCATGTCTGTCATCATCATTGCCCCCAGCAGGGAGTCCCTACCTGTTTAAGTACTAGAGGGGAACAAAGCCAGAAAACTGGGAGAACGTTATATAAAATATGATTCTGCACATGTGAGCCCACTTCATGTTATGGGAACAGTTCATCAGACCCAGTCTCAAGGCTGTGAGAACACTGCTTGTCAGGCCCCTCGAGGGCTATGGGAACCCTGCTCCCCTTAGCTACCCAGACACCTGGGTGAGGAAGCCAGACTGCCTCCACTGACCCTACACTTTCTAATGGTTTTTACAAACTACAAACTAGTGACTCTTAATAGAAAGATACTGTTCTTTTCAGAAATCTTGAAAGGCTCCAAAGTCATCGTCTTGCATTCTAAGCCACTAAATTGCACTCCAGACATCCCCTGAACATGTCCCACGCTTCACCTCCTTTGTGCCTTGGCTCCTAGGATTTCTTTTGATTTTTAAACTAACAATCCTTCAAGGTGCAGCTTAGGTGCTGTCATCTTGAAGGAAAGTGGAGGGGACAGAGCTATCACTGAGCACCTTTGGGAGGGTTGGGGCCGTGCAGACTTCTTTGTAAGGAGGGCATGCCTGAGGCCTGGCAGTGACCCTGCCGTGGGAGAAGGCTGGGCGGTGTGGGGACACGGGGAGGAGTGACCTCAGAAAGGATGACACCATTGGCCTCAGGAGCCTCCAGGCTCCTGGGGAGGTGGTGGTGGTGAGTCCTACTCCCTGGGTTTTGGAAAGGGGTCTTTTTGTTTCCCAGCCTGACTGAGGTTCCTACATGCCTGCAGGGGCTTCGTCTTGCAGGAGAGGTGCTACTGCAAGAAGAGCATGGTCAGCAGGAAGGTACGGCCACCCTCCCTTGGGACCTGGGCGAGGTCGGGCAGCACCCTGCTTGCTGCCCTCACAGAGGCAGCCCTGTCTCCATGGCTCTCACTGTGGGGCAGCCTTGCTGGGGTGCAGAGGGGCTTCCAGGATGCCTGGGGTTGCTGGGGGGTTGCTGGTTGTGCCGTGGAGGAGAGATGGAAGCCTCTCATCCAGCCTGGTCTCCCTCTGCACCTCTGGCCTCATTAGTCTTCATTGCTCCCACCCCTGCTCAGCTGTTTGGCATCACCGAGAGGTGGGGGGCAGTCCTCACACCCCCTGGGGAGCAGCCCAGACTGGCTGGATTCCAGCACTTCGTACAGAGCCTGCAGCCCATGGTGACCGAAGGTGAGTCAGGAGGGTGGGGGCAGAGCCACAGGCCCCAGGTGAGAATGTTCCTGCCTCACAGGTGGACTGGTCTTCCCCAGAGAACCGCTTTAGCCCAACTGCAGAGCAGTCCTCTGCCCTTGTCTGTGGTCCCAGACTCTCTTCCTTCTGCTCTGTGCAGCTCCCGCAGCCCCTGTGGAGGAGAGGGAGGCCATGCCACTGCGGCCTGCTTCCCTGCTGATGCACATCGAAGGCTTCCTTGCAGCTCTCACCACTGCCAACCAGGATGGCAGGGTCATCCTGAGCCACCAAGGTATCCAAGGGGGAGCCTACCTGCAGCTGGGAGGCCAGAGCATGAAGGGAGTCTCTGCCTCCAGCCCAGTACCTCCCTGGGTCGGGACGAGGAATCAGGGTGGTGACACCTAGCCTCCTATGGCCTGGTCAGGTGGTGGGTAGTGAGGAGGGATGCCGCTGTGCTGGGGTGGTCGGCCGTCTCAGGCGAGGGTGCAAGAGAAGCCGTGCAGCCTCGTGGTGAAGGTTATATGAGTTTGCTTTGAGTCTTGGTTCCATTACCTACCAGCTGCGTGTCCTAGACCAGTTTCTTTGTCTCTGAACTTCAGGTTCCTCAGGTGAAAAGGGAGATAGTCATACTCTTTGCCTCAGGGTGGTCCAGGACAGTAACTGAGGTGTAAAGAGAAAGTGCTGTCGCTCATGCCTCCTACACGGACCCAGCAGGAGATCCCCTTTGCCTTGAACAGAGAGACGTGCCTGTTGGGCCCGTACCTGCCCCCTTCCCTTGTAATTGTCTCTCATTTGTCTTTTTACCAGGCAGCCTCAGTCAGAGCAGCCTCAAATTCTTGCTGCTGAATCCAGCTGTGCCTTTTGCCCAGGTGGTGAAGGAGTGCCGGGTGGTGGTCATTGCCGGGGGCACCATGCAGCTGGTGAGGACACCAGGCCTGACCTCTAGCGCTGGGTCCGGATGGGACAGTGACTGGGAGCGGTGCACGGTCAGGCTTCTTCACCTCATCATCCCTAGGGCTCCCAACCCAGAAAGGGGTCACTTGAACAGACCAAGCAATGTCCACCAGGTGGCACTGCTGTGCTGTCCCACTGCCCAGGAATTTTAGGCCACGCTCCGGTGTGTCCCTAGCAGTGGGATCACACTTGTCCAGAGAATGCCCTTCTGAGGCTCCTTCCTCTCACGGATTTGCCTCGTGCCACAGCCTGCCTGTGGCCACAGTAGCTGTAGCCTCCCCTCTTTTACAAATGTAAATATACCAAATATGCTGTGTGAACGGCGCTCCTGTGGATAATGCACACCCATGTTTTTGTGCATACTGCACACGGGGTTGTTATACCCATGGTATGTAATCATTATTCCCATGTGCAACGCGCATCCTTATTTTCCCTCAAGAACTTGGGCAGGAATGTGTGCATTATACATGGCTATTTTATTTTCAATTATGGAAAACAGAGACAAACAAAAACAGGGAAAAGGATCATAATTTGACAAGCAAAAGATTCATTTTGTTGTGCACATCATTATAATAGTCTTTGCATAATTTTTACAAATACACATACATGTTTTTAAAAACAAAATGGTACAGTATTATTTGTATGTGCTATTGTTATAATTTGCTTTCCCCCCCACTCAGCAACAGAATGCCATATGTGTTTTTTCTTCTCAACAAATAAGTGTTTATTTGCCATACCCTAGCTGTACTTCATCCTATTGCATGAACGTATTTTATGTAACCGCTCTTCTTTAGTCAGATACTCAGGTGACTTCTAGTTTTCCCGTGTGAACGAAGGCTCGGTAAATGTGACCCGTCTCTGCACAGTGGTTGTGTCCGTGGGAGACGTGCGTCCTAGATCCGGACTCGGTGCTGGCAAAGCCCCTCAACGCCCTCAAGCTGTCTGTGCCAACCCGGGCTGTCCCACACCCCTGTAGCTTTATTTACTTATTTTTTCATTCTTTCTTGTGTATAGGGTTGTATCTCTTAATTTATTTGTGTGTAAAATAATTTGTAGCCCTTGTGGCTTTTGAAGCTCAAGTTGTCTCAGGCTTGGCCTGTGGGGAACCCCCTGGCTGCCTCAGGTCCTCCGGGTGTGGCCCCCATGGCCTTGGATGGCTTTCCTGCTTTCTGGAACGACAAGAGCACACTGGGCCACCTGATGCTGTCTTTGTCCAGGATCTGGAATCCTCCATGTCTCCACGGTGCCCTGGCTTCTTCTACTGAAGACGGGCACTTACAAACCAAAACCTGGGTGTTGGGTGTTTCCAGTGTTCCTGGGTGACTGTTGTCTACAGGCCTTTCCAGTGCAGACCCAGGAGATATGTTTGCAGACATCCTGAGTCCATCTTGATATTTCTAAATCAAAATCAAAATCAATTTATTTAACCCTATGCTGCATCTCTTTTCTCTTGAATGCAACTTTTGGTTTCTTACAGTCACATAATTACTTATTTGCTTTATCCCATAATATACTCAAAATAGTGTCCAAAATATAATACCAATATTCTAACAGTAAACTGTTGATTAAAATTTTATGTCTTTGCACTTAGTTTTTGCCCTTAGAGTATATCCTGCTAAGGATACATGGCCGCTAAGGATATGGAGTCATGCCCTGGCTGGTGTGGCTCAGTTGGCTGGAGTGTCATCCCGTAAACCGAAAGGTTGTGGGGTTCACTACCTGGTTGGAGCACATATGAGAGGCCACAGATCCATGTTCCTTTCTCTCTCCCCACCTTCTCCTCTTTTTAAAATCAATGAGCAAGTCCTCGGTTGAGGATTTAAAAAAAGGATATGAGGTCACTTGGCATCAGGCTTTTTTTTGTTGCAGTTTGTTTTCAGTTTCAGAGTTTGCCGTTTTTGTTGACTTAATTCTGTTTTCAGAAAATGTAAACATGTGTGTGGTTCCAAAGTTGAAACCATATAAAAAGTTTCAAAAAGTCTCACTTGCACCCCTTTCCAACCCGTTCCCCATTCCAGTAGGTGATGAGCATGTTTTATTAGCACTGTCTATCTTCACAATGTTTCATGTGATGTTTTTGCAAAAAGCAGATGTATGTCCTTACTCTTTTTCACTTACCTCAAAGGCGGCAGGACCTGTTTCTCTGTGCCTGTACGTTCTGACAGTGCCTCCCCACCGGTGCACAGGGGTGGAGTGGGCTGCACTCCTGGGCCGGGCTGCGCAGTGTTCCGTTGGGCGGATGTAGCACAGCTCAGGGGACCAGTCCCTGTGGAAAGGAGGCCGTGCTCTCGCACGTCACTTCACAGGAAATGCCCTTGTGCACGTGGTGTTTGGTTTGTTGAGCTGACTCTTCGGGGAGACTCCTGAATGTGGGATTGCTGGGTTAAAAAGTAAAAATGTATCTCATATGTTAAATATCGTCCCTCTGCCCTCTGCCTGGAGCAGCACCATTCTGTACCCCACCCGCAGTGAAGATGCCAGTTCCTCCACAGAGTGGTCAAGCATTAGGACTTTTGCCCATGTGATAGGTGAAAAACCTGGATGGAGCTCTTTAAATAAATACAAAAGCCTATTCCTCCCCCTAGAGATTCTTATTCAATAGTTTGGGCTCGCTAGGGTCTGGCCATGTGTGTATGCATGCATGCATACATATGTATACATATTTTTATATATATGTAAAATATATGTATATATATTTTTTAAATTCCCACTCTGATTTTGTTGTACATCCAGGGCTGGGACTCACTGCCAAATTCCCTTTGCCATTGCCACAAGTAGTTTAAATGAGACTGCCAACACTGGCGTCATTAAATTGTTTTTGCATGTTCGCTAATTTGTTACCAGGCTTTCCTTCAACCTCTCTTCTGTTCCTAGGTACTTGCTGCCTCGTTACCCTGACTTCTGTGTTTCCAAGTGATTCTCTCTTCTCCTCCCTGCCAAGGCCCATCTGCTCAGACCCTGCTCCCTGTCCCTGGACCTCTGGGAGGTCACACATCCTTGATGTTGTGGTCTTCAGGTGACTGACTTCTGGGGGCAGCTGTTCGCAAGTGCTGGGTGGCAGCTGAGTGACTGGTGTTTTCCTGTGGTGAGGATCCGTGTCCAGGGTGGAGTGGGCCCCATAGTCATGCCATGGGCTGTGTTAGAATTGAGCTGTATGCTGTTAGCAGGCCTAAGGGGCTGAGGGGACCACAGGATGCTAGCTGTCTGTGCTCCCTCCACCTACATGGGAGAGGTCTGAACATTGCTGTTTTGCTGTGGAAAGAGGATGGTGAGTGAGTGTTTAAAATTGTTGCCCCTAGTGTTCCTTGTGGCATCTGCCTTGCAGCAGAGTCTGTACCTCTGGTGTTCAGATCCTCCCTGGGCCTGAACAGGTCACGTGATCCTATGTCTAGATCCTCTAGACACCATCCTGCCCCTCGTCATCTGCACTGGGCCCTCCAACCAGTAGCTGGAATTCACACACCTGAAGAGAGAGCTGCCCCACATGGTCAGTACCAGCCAGCCAGCTTCACCACCATCTTTGCTGGGGCTGGAGGGAGATTTCTGGGATGGGGGCACACTGGCCAATCCAGAGCTGGCACAGGGTGAATAGTATGTATATGTTTATCGAGGAAGGTCTGAGTTTCCCCGCACCCCCCAGCCCTTGGGCTGCTAAGCAAGTTTTCCTGACACCTCCAGCCATCCCTATAGGATGAAGCTCATGCGAAAGTGGCTCATTCCCTTTGTTTCTCTTGTCATTTGGTGATACCGGCTCCTGCCAGGCAGGGATACAGGTGTTGGGGCACTTCTCTAGTGGCATGCCTTGGGTTTTCAGTGCCCGATCTGTCACAGACGGTGCTTACTCCCAAGATGCACACAGGACATGGGGAACTGGGGAAGGGCAGCCTTGGCACACACCCTCGGCAGGTGCAGCTCAGGTGTGCTCACACAGCGGTGTGTGTCAGATGCTGCCTGTCATCGGGAGCATCCCTTGGGTGTTTGGCAGGGAGGGTGGCACGTTCCAATCTGTTTCCCAGCCGGGGCGCATTGCCCAGCTGCAGGCCTCCCTGACCACATTCACCCGTGGGTCTCTGTACTTGGCTCTGAGCCCTAAGGTTAGGAGCCTTTTGGGGGTATGGCTTCAGGAGTGGCCTCCTGGAGGGCCCCTTGTCTTCTTTTCTTAGATGGATGAGACAGGTCGCATCCTCTGTAACTTGTGCAATGTGGTCCCCGGAGGGGTGATCTGTTTCTTCCCCTCCTATGAATACCAACACCAGGTCCATGCCCACTGGGACAAGAGTGGCCTGCTGGCCTGCCTGGCTGTCAGGAAAACGGTGAGCAACCTCTCAGCAGGACCTTCCACTGTGGGGACAATGAACCCAGAGTTCCTCCTGGGATTTCTCGTGCACATCAAACCAGATGGTCGGGCCTCATGTAAGGAGGCTTCTCCCACCACTTCTGATCCCTGATGACCGCCCAGAGGAGTCTGTGAAGCCCTCTGGGGCTCTCTGGGCTGGAAGACAAGGCCTGGAGCAGACCTGTGACCCAGGCGTCCTGAAATCCTGTTCTGGGAAACATCTCTTTATGTCCAGCTATTTCAGGAACCGAAGAGAGCGAGCCAGGTGGACCAGGTGCTGATGGAGTATTCCAAGTGCATTCAGGTGAGAGGTGGAACTCCGGCTTGGGTCCAGACTCGTGGGGTTGGCGGTTGAAAATGTTTTGATGGCATCCCAGCTTTGGGTGGTCCCCGCAGTGCCATGTTCAGGCAGGAGGCACGGGGACAGGGGCCCTGTTGCTCTCAGTGGTCGGAGGCAAGATGAGCGAAGACATCAACTTCTCTGACAACCTCGGCTGGTAAGTAGTGTGCTCCATGTCTCTTGGAACGCCGATACCCACCCCCTCTTTCACTCCAAGCAGCTCCCCCCCACACCCCCCCAAGCCCTTTGCAATCTGCCGCCATCTGAGTCTGCACCTGGGCTGACCTCGCAGGTCAGTCAGCTGCGTGGGGAAGTGATTCGGCAGCTTTGGGTTTGCCCCTTTGGGGCCAGCTGAAAAATGAGGCAGACTCGAACTTTCTTGAACTCAATTCCTTGGTCTAGCAGGGATCTTTAAGGTGAAAAACCCCTCTCCAGGTGGTGGGTTTAGGCTGGGGAGGGAGAGGTAGAGCCTCTGAGCACAGCTTGACTGCGGCAGGGGTAGACCAGACGTGATGTGTGGGTGAGGACCCGGCCCTTCGTCCTGGGCCTTGAGAACCCCAGGTGCCTCTGGCTCCTGTGTGCCTCTGTCACAGGTGGGCAATGGTAACCAGGTTCTTAGTGATCGGGACAAAGAATTGAACCGAACACCCAGAGTTCATAGCAGAGAACATGGGAGCAGGCCAACTCCAAGCAGAGACTGACCTCATGGGCTGGAGGGGCTATTCTTATGGGCGGATCCTTCCTGGCTAGTTTTGGTGGGCTTTACTGCGCATGTACAAGTAGTTGTATTACTTTAAAGCTACTGCACATGTGGTCTCCCATGATTTTCCCTGATTGACCACCAGGGAAGAGGGTCCCACAATGCTACCGAATTGATCCCCGTTTCTTCTGGGGTCCCCCTGTACTAGGTTCACCTTTCCCTTCACCAGAGAATTATAGCTCTCCATGTTAGAGATTGGTGAAAAGGAAAGGAGCTATTTATTCAAGTTATACAGACTAAGAGTAATGACTTAATGTCTTCATCAAAATCCCAAAGTCCCTTAAAACACCCACAAACACACACAGTCCTTCCTTCCCCCCTTTGCCTAGTCTGGGGTACTGTATCTCAGGAAAAGAAATAGAAGTTCGTGGCTCAGGCAGCCCCCGGTTCTTCCCAGTAATCCGTGCTCAGCTGGTAGGCCTCCCTCGTGATCTCCAGCAAAAGCTGCATGGTGGTGATTCTTCTCATGGCTGCGGGGGTGAGGGGGGTACCCCTGTGCCAAAAGTGCATGGTTCTCCTTACATGGCTGCAGGCGCATGGTCCTCTCTCCACTGCCACAGCTGAGTGGCTCCCGTTCCTTACATGGCTGCAGGAGTCTCCACTCAGCCAAAACCGAATGGTTCTCTCTCCAATGGCTGCCAAGTCTGGGTTTAAATGTCCTTCCAGCTTTACTGGGCTGCCATCATGAGTCTGAGCAGGGATGGCCCCATGTCATGGAGCCAATCTTCTCCAAGCTCTCAAGCAGGCACTGTAACTGGGGGAGTTGCCTCCCAGTTATATCTTGAAGGGAAGTCCCTTCCATCCCCCTGGCTCAGAGCATGGCCACAGCTATTTAACATATCTATGCAACCAGTTAAAGCTTCTAGATGTGGTAAATGACCATACCAGAGGTTACCTGCAAAGCTGTTGCTATGCAAAACAGCTCTCAATGGCCCTGCTCCAAGTGTCCCTTCCCCCAACTCACACCTGTGGTAGAGGGTAAGGACATCCTATATATCTTTCTAATATTTCCTGCACACCTTGAGTTCTGAACCCCCATTACAAATCCTTCTTTTGGGGGCCCCCTGGCTGCACCCTCCTATACCTCCACGCCAGGTGTGTGGTCACGGTGGGCATGCCCTACCCCAATGTCAGGTCTCCGGAACTCCGAGAGAAGATGGCCTACCCGGATCAGGCCCTTGTGAGAGCCTCCAGTTTGGGAAGATGAGGGGAAAGGGCAGGAGAGCTCAGTAGCCCTGAGGACTGAGGTACACTGGGATTTCCCACAGCCCCTTGCTGTGTGCCACTGTTTCCTGTTTGTTCCAGAGGGATGGCAGTGTCCCCCCTCTGGAGCTGCAAGTCATATCACGTATCCTATCAGCCACTGGTATTGTGCCCTGGAAGCTGATTGGTCTTGCTTACAGCCTGGCAGTGTCATTTTCTCAGGATGCCAGGCAGGAGACAAACAATTCTGATAGGTCATTTCTTTTGCCTTTCCCAGCCCGGAGCCGCAGGTCAGCCTGCCCCAGGAAAGGCTCTCGTGGAGAATCTGTGTATGAAGGCTGTCAGTCAGTCTATAGGTGAGCCTGGGGCTGGTCCTAGCTATCAGGATGAATCACTGGAGAGGGAGGGAGGGAGGAAGGAAGGAGATGACAGTGTAACAGGGTGCAGCCAAGAGGGGGTACCCCAAATAGGGATTTGAAATGAGGCCCAGAACTCAAGGTGTTCAGGAAATATTAGGATGTCCTCACCACCCTCCCTTCCTTGTGTGGGTTGGGGAAGGGACAAAGGCAGCAGGGCCATTGAGAGCTGTTTTGCATAACAACAGCTTTGCAGACCATCCCTCTGGCATAGTAATTTAACATATCTATAAACCTTTAACTGGTTGCATAGATATGTTAAATAGCTGTGGCCATGCTCTGAGCCAGAGGGCTGGAAGTAACTTCCCCACCAAGATGTAACTGGGGGGCAGGCCCCCCTAGTTACAGTGCCTGCGTGGGAGCTTAGAGAAGATTGGCTCCATGACATGGGACCACACCTGCCCAGACCCACGATGGCAGCCCAGTAAAGCTGGAAGGCTTTGAGAGTGCTGGCAGGTGTAACCGAGTGTGGGAGGAGTCGGAAATGGGGCTGCAGAGGAAGATTGGTGTGGGGATTTAAACCCAGACGTGGCATCCATTGCCGGGAGAATCACTTGGCTGTGGCAGTGCAGAGAGAGGACCACAGCCAATGCGCAGGGAGGAGAGAACCACTCGGTCTTTAGCAGAGTGGGGACTCCCGCAGCCCTGAGAGAGGGAATCACCATGCAGCTTTAGCAGAGAATCACCATTCAGCTTTGGCAGAGTGGTGACCCCCCTTCTTGCAGCTATTGAGAGAGGACCATGCAGCTTTGGCAGAGTGGAGACTCCCACAGCTACTGTGCAGAGGACCACGTGACTGGGGCAGTGGAGAGAGAACCTCGCGGCTTTGCCAGGGTGGAGACCCCCGCAGCTTTAGAAGGGGGAACCACCACTGGGCTTTAGCAGAGATCCTGGAGACACAGCTGATGATGCCGGAACTGAGGGAGGCCTACCAGCTGAGATGGATTAATGGGAAGTGGGGGCTGCCTGAGCCATGGACTTCTATTTCCTTCCTGAGATATGGTACCCTAGACCAGGCAAAGGGGGAAGGGCTGTGTCTGTGGGTGTTTTAAGGGACTTTGGGATTTTGATGAAGACATTAGGTCACTACTTTAAGCCTGTACAGCATTAAATAAACATTTCCTTTCTTTTTCACGAATCTCTGGCATTGAGAGACGTCTTTCTTCTGGCAGTGAACATAACGAACCTGGGGGGTTTCTTCTGGGTAATAGTATATCGGCCCAGGCCCCCCCCTTGTTCTGTAACAACAGGATGGGGTCTGTTCCTGGCCATCTCTCCATTCTGGGGGCTGAGAAAGGGAAGGAAACAAAATAGCAGTGCTCTGTTGGGAGGCAGGTTTGATCAGAGCCTCAACCTGTTCCCATCCAGGCAGGGCCATCAGGCACCAGAAGGATTTCACCAGCACAGTGCTGCTGGACCAGCAGTATGCCTGTCCACCTGTCCTGGCAAAACTGCCCACCTGGATCTGAGACCGTGTGGAGGTCAAAGTCACCTTTGGCCCCGCCTTTGCTGCTTTGCAGAAGGTCAGTCCTGCCTTTTGCTCCCCGAGAACTCCCCACCAAGACCCCCATCTAGTGTTTCACGGTCTTGCCCTGTCTCCCCAGTTTCATCACGAGAAGTCTGGCCTCTCCTGAGGGACACCCATGCTTGTCTGGCATGCAGGACCCAGGAACAGGCACAGAAGCCAACAGGCAAAGACTAGGTTACTCCTGAACACTGGGGTCCTGGCCATCCTGGGGCCCCTCCCAGAAACTGGATCTTTCCTCCTTTCACCAGGGCCCAGGGAGCTCCCTGCCCAGACTTTCTGGGCGGCTGTAGAAGCTGCACCTTCCACTGCGGGATCTCTGTCCCTGCTTGTTTCTCAGCATCCACTTCATTGGAGCTGAGGTGGAGTAGGCCTCTGCTGCCTTCCTTTTCTCCTCCTCTGCCCTTCCTAGCTCAGATTAGCTGCTTGAGACCTTCACCCTTTCCTCAAAATTAAGGACGTTCCCCATTCCCAGCACTCCTGGTGTCAGGGCTCCTCCGCCCTCAGGCTTCTGGTTACTTCATCCAACTGCCGTCTGGGGATTAAGCAACATCCGTGAGAAACCAGTCACCGAAGTCACTGAGAACTGGGACCAGGGCCCTGTGGGCTGCCGCCCCGCCTGCTGGCCTCACCCCTTTACTTCCAGGCTGCTCCCTAACCTGCTCAGGCCCTGCCCAGCATCCTTATCCCCCTGGATGGGTCCTGCAACTCAGTAGCACTTATCCCCTTCTCAGCCACTTGGGCAGACTCTGAGACACCTCTTCCCCTGACACCAGCAACTACACCAAGGGCCATTAGGCCCTCAGCATGACTACTTTCAGATACTCTGTGTGTGTCATCCAGGTGATATTTCCTGTGTAAGAATACCCAGGCCCCATCTGCAACAACTGCCCCTGTTCACTACACCTCTTCTCTCCCTGACCCCAGAGAAAGGGCCTTGGTCCCCTCAGCACCCAGACTCATTGCCTGAGACCAGTGGGAGCAGGAACACAGGCCCTGGCTCAGAGAAGTTTGTGTTCTACACAGCTGTAGTTCCTTAATTAAAAGTACACTGTTGGCTGATGCTCAGTTCTGCTTTCTATTTCTTTATTGATTTGTGCACTGCTGTATCTCAAAGTGTCAGGGAGGAGCAGAGCACACCAGTGAAGGAGGTGGGTGGAGCACAGGCATGGAGCCAGGGCCCCCTCCCCGACCCCTCAGGAGCCAGCCTCCCTGCTTCTTGAAGAGGACCCAGCCACAGCCCTGGTGGTCCTCCAAGATCCACTTCCCTCCAAGGGCAGCAGGGGCTGAGACACCTGCAGGCCAAGGAGCCCATCCCAGCTGCTCCCGTGTGAGGGCAAGAGGCTCAGCCTGGGTTTGGGAAGAAGAAGGAGCCACTGAGCCCCTACCTAGGATTCCCAGTCATCTTGGTCCTCCTCTCCAGGTGGCTGCTGTGGGGGAGGCAGAGGTGGGATGGAGTCTGACATTCGAGCGAAGGCTCCTCCTGGCCCCTCGCTGGCCCCGGTCCCGGGTCCTTTCCCAGAGATGCCTGGGAGGGAAGAGATGGAGGGTGAGGAGGGTGCTTTGCAGCACAAAGTCACCAAGCCCCTAGAGACTCAGAAGCCCCTAGAGAGTGAGAAACAAGAAAATGCAGAGTGTACATGACACACAACCCCTCAAGTCCCTGGAAGGCAGTGGTGCCTTGCCTCCTACCTTTTCGCCTCATGGCCAGCTTGTTAAAGAGATCCGACATCAGGTCCCCACCTTGGCCTGTGGCCCTCACTGCACAGGAGAAAACCACTGGTGAGGAAGGATGAAGGGACCGGGTATGAAACCTGCTCCTGGGTGACAACCTCAGGGTTCAGTCACACTCGTCCTCTTTTTCTTCGTCACTGACACACCCTAGCCCTCTCCACAGCCACCATGTCACCACTGGCTCCTGGAGCTTCAGTCTGTCAGTGTTCCTCCTGCCAGCACCAGGGCACTGATGAGAAAATGGTTAACGTTTGGGGAACATCAGCATAGCCATGACATGAGACAAAGGGGTGCCACCAAGCAGCCCCAGTGTGTGTGTGAGCAGCCCAGAGTGTTAGGCAGTTGGCCCGGGTCACGGTGCAAAGCTCAGAAGCCAAGCTGGGACTCAAGTGCAGGACTGCTGCCTCACGGCCAGGTGTCCCGTTTATGCCAGCCTCCCAGTGGAAGAAATCTGTAGCCCCAAGGGGCTTAGAGAAGCAGGACTGAGCCACCCCTCCAGGGCCTCTTTCTAAAACATCTCAGGTCCCAACCTCAGATGGTGTCCGTTCCTCAGACAATTGGCAGAGTGTGAGAAGATTCTCTCTTGTACTTGGAGCTGGGTGAGGCTCTGCTGCCCACCAGCTTAGAGAGGCAGAGTTCCACTCAGCAGGCTCCAAAACCCAGCAGGAACCCACTGCCCAGGCAGCAGAGAAGAGGATGTTATGGTGGCCACCCAGGGTTTCCAGCAAACACCCAGGGGACAGCAAGGGGCTGGCCTTTCGACACGTGGGTGGCAAGGAGCACCTTTTTGGAGTCTGGTGGTGGTTGTTAAGAAGCGGCCCTTTTCTCAGAGCCCTCCTGGAGTGGGTGCAGCAGAGTCCCCTCACCTTGCTCCTGCTCCTTCTGTTTCTTCTTCTCTAGCTTGCGCTCCTTGACGCTGCGGAGCTTGGCCTTGCCGATGCCCCCAGCCTGGCGGATGGACTCCAACAGAGTGGCCCGGCCACTGGAAGGGTCCACCACTTCCTTGGGAGCTCCCTGGACTGGAGGTGGGGGTGGGAAGGAAGGCTGCTCAGGCAGGGAGGGTTAGGCTGTGGGACAGCCCTACCCAACGTTAAGGTTCTGGGGGTCCCGAGGAGCTGTCAGCAGTCTGGCTGTGAGGAGGGGCTCTCCACGAAGAGGAAGCTGGCTGGTGAAGCTGGATGCTGGCTGCATCCATCTAAGCTCAGGAAGTCATGTGTCCAGGAGCCCAGGACCCTCTCCAATCCCTACCCAGCTTAGCTGCCACCTGCAGAGGGGGCCCCGAGAGTTTCCGATATGTTGAACATCTAATTGTGACATGTGATCCAACAAGCAATTTTTGTGCTACTTCTGGATGGGAGAGGTGATTGGAAGATATATTAAAACTGCAATTCTGCAATTTAAGGAACCCGTGGATATTGTCCTGTACTTTTCAATGATTTTAGTGGCCCCTCTTTTTCCACTGGTGTCAGTGGGGGACCCACAGCCCCATCTGCCCAGGCGCCCTGCACCCTGGAGGATACAATTCCAGAGCTCTATGGACACAATTTAAAAACCACTATTAATGATCCTGATGGAACAATATTTAAAATTAGAACTATCTTGAAACTGTAGAATTTATGACCACTTAACCAGACTACAGAAAATCCTTCAGGGATCCAGAAATTTGGAGGTGCCCTGAAAGAGAGCACCCTACCCCCCACCCCCACATGCGCCCACATGCGTGCCGGTGCTCCTACCTGAAGGAGATGAGCTGCTCTCAGCCTCCTGGGCATCGTGACCTGGAGAGGCTACGGTCTGCAGTGGGGGTGGGGGCGGGGGAGCGCTAACCAGCACTGCTGGAGCTGGGGGAGGTGGTGGTGGTGGCGGTGGTGGGGGGGGTGCTGTTAGTACCCCATCTTCTAGGTCTGAAACGAGTGTGAGAAATGTGAGGTGCCTGAGGAAGAAAGCTGCCCAACTCCCATTCTTGGCTCTCGCTCACCTGCCTGGAAAGGCTCGGCCACCTCTGTGGGGAAGGCAGGCAGTTCTGGAATGGTGCCAGGGGCAGAGGGGGCAATGCCAGGACCCAGATCAGCACTGTACATGAGGTCATCAGCGATGCCTGGCAGGTCTGGCAGCTGGCACGGCACGTCAATCTCGGGCACCTGGCCCAGGTCAGGCACGTAGAAGTAGTTCTCTGGAATCTGCAGGTGTAGGTGGGGGTATGTTAACTGGGGTGCAGCAGTTTGACCTTGGACCAGTCAGTGGGGCCCAGATGGGCTCAACAGGCCCCTCACCTAGAGAACCCTGGCAGGGCTGGCAGGGCCCCATCTCCTCACCCAGCTGTACCCCCTCCCACCGAAGCATCATCTATCTCTACCTGTTGCTCCAGCTGCTCTCTTTTGCTGATGGACAAAGGGGCATCGAATAGCTTCTCCTCTGTCTCTGCACCTAGCATCACATGGGTCTTTGTTACAGCACCAGCCAGGGGGTCCAGGAAGACATACTTTTTGTACCTGCAGAGGTGGGGTGGACTTCAGGCAATCTGTCATCTGTTCTAGGCCCATGGTCCTGATCTTTTCCCACTTCATCAAAAGCCACAAGGAGTTTGTACCACGGGTTCCCAGGCTTTACAAGGCAAAGCAAACTGGTCCTGGCTCTGCATGCTGAAGACTTCCGCTGCACCTGAGTCTGACACCCCCCGAGTACCCCTCTAAGCCAGCCAGGCCTCCCACCACCCCTCCCTAGCCCCACTTCTGGCCATACAGGTTCTCGGTGGTGTTGAAGAGCAACAAGGAGCTGACAGAGTTGATGTTGCTGGGAAGACCCCCAAGCCCTTCCTCGGCCTCATCCTCAGGTTCCACCTTGGTGTTCACACACACAGGGAAGTATTTCAGCTTCTCCTGGGGGTGGGTGTGGAATGGGACAGAAGGACGGAGGTTTCAGGACCAGACCAGTGACCTCCACCCCATGCTGTCAGAATCCTCTTGGCGGAACAGTACCCTAAGGCGGCCTTTCGTTCCTTCCCCACATCCATGCTGCCATTGGTCACCCCCTGCAGTGTGTGACCTGCATGCGCCCATCAGACCTGCAGGGCCTGCTCATCCAGGGGGCGGTGCTTGCTCTGGATTCTGTGGCGGGGGCGTCTCTGCAGGCCAAAGTCCTGGGCACCCATGAAGATGGAACTGTACTCCTGCAGGTGCTCAGGAGCTGGGTATTTGGCACTGGAGAACACCTGTGGACACATGGGAAGTCTGACATCACTTTGTCAGGGGCCCCCAAAAGTGCCAGAGAGACTAGGGTTGGGGTAGGGACATTCTTTCTGAGAAAGAGGAAAGCTGGAGAGGTATGGCTGGAGAGTGAAGGTAGGGATCCGGGCAACCTCAGAGGCACAGGGAT